TTCCCCCCCCTTTTTTTTTTTTTTTTGTTACTCAGGATTGAACAATTTTATTTTGAGTCAGTCTTGCTTCATTTCCCAGGCTGACTTCAAACTTGCCATCCTCCTCCCTCAGCCTCCCAGTTTATTAGCTGGGATTACAGATGTGTCCTACTGTGCCCATCTCCTCCTTCCCCCTCCTGTACTGGGGATTGAACTAAGGACCTTGCACTTTTGAGCCAAGTGACTGCACTACTGAGCTAAATCCCTGGCCCTCCTCCTCAACTCTTAATCTTACATTTGAGAAGTAATTTAAGCTGAGTTTTTTGTAGCTGTTCATACATTCATTTATTCAGAAGTGTATTACCATATTAATATGAATAAGGGTACATTATGTATCACTTTATTTTCCTTCCCCAACTTTACTAAAACGTCTTGCATATCTTTTGAGTATAAGAGTTTTACCCTCTTAGAGATGACAGTAAATTAGGAGATAGATTTGTAGAGATGAGAAAAGGATCAGGGGAATAGGAAATAGGGAAGAGGAAAGGGAGAGGAGTAATGGGATTCAAAATGACCAAGATATGTAAGTGTATATACCATTTTCCCAAAACAGGCCTCACGATTTTGTATTACTAACAGGTGAGCAGGCAGGCAGGCAGGCAAGAAGGAAAGGCAGGAAGGCAGGAAGGAAGGAAGGAAGGAAGGATGGATGGATGGATGGATGGATGGGTGGGTGGGTGAATGGATGGATTAACCTTTTAAAATGGAACTCCAATTTACTCCCCACCCCTTTGATACAGCCAAGGCCTTTGGGATTGTGGGCTCTTCTGAAAGGCCAGGCTGGAACATGGCCATGCTCCTGCTTTTGGTCATCCTATCCTGTTCTGCCACTTCCTTAGTATGTTTCAGTTTTAGTCTTCAGGACCTTCTTGTTTTTAGAGCATATTAAATTCCTTCTTAATTAAGGGTTTTGTATATGTTGTTTCTCTTTCTAGAGTACTTTCTCCCCAGTCTTTCCAGGGTAGTGAGCTATTTGTATCTGCAGGTTTCAATTTTTAGGTCAGAAGGGTCCTTTTTGAATGTCCTGTCTAAAACAGTCCTCTCTTATTCTCTGCTGAGGTACTCTTTGTTTCCATTGTAACATTTGTTTTAGTTCTCAAACCGATTCGTTTCCTTGATTTTTTATTTCTCTTATTAGCCTGTAGTAAGCTCCCCAATACCAGAAACTTTATTTCATGTACTGTTTTTGGGAAAATATTTTTGGAATTAGCATAGAAGTGGATGAATAAGAACATAAGGATCTTATTTATTTCACTTAGGAGTATATCTTTCATATGTATCCATTTTCCTATGAATGAATCTATTTTCTCTTTTTTATGGCTGAGTAATATTCCATTTTGTAGAAAAAAACACATCTTCCTTATCCAGTTTCCAACAGATGGGCAAATGGGCTGTTTCCAAGTTTTAGCTATTCCAAACTGTGCCGCTATAAACATGGGTGCACATACTTCTCTGTGATATGATTCTTTTAGTTCTTTTGGAAAGATACCCAGCAGAGGGATGGCTGGGTCAAATGGAACCTCCAGTTCAAGCTCTTTGAGGTATCTCCATATTGATTTCCATAAGGCACACATGTGTAAATACCAAATAGTCTCTCTGGTGTGAATAATCTGCAATAATACAGAAGATCCTAATAAGATTACTGACATTTAGAAATGGGAAGAAAGGAGCTAAAGGTGTAGGGAAGGGGAGATGGGTAGGGGAAAGGTAATAAGGGAAAAGAAAAAAATGTGAGATAATGAAAAGATGGAAATAAAATGTTTGTAGATGGGGAGGGGAGGAGGGGGTGAAGGGAGGGCAGGGACAAGGGGAAAAAATGAGAACCAAGACCTGTCATGTGGAGGTACAAATTCCCAACAATGAATGTAACTGTACTGTATCCCTAAAATGTACCAATAAACTCAATTAAAGCTAAAAAAAGAACATAAGGATCTTCCTTACAGTTTTAAAGGCCATGTAATATTCCATTTTAATCAGTGTACTATTTGTGGTACCAGTCCCCTATTGAAGGCCTGTTAAGTTGCTTGTCAAATTTTTCTTATCAAGACACCAACATACTGAAAATAATAAATTTCTGTATATGTCTCTCTGTGTGCATGCATGTGTGAATATCTGTAGGATAACTTCCTAAGAGCGAAACAACTGGATCAAAAGATACACATCCTCAGACTAATTTTGAAACTATCATACCATTTTCTATGACACCAATTGTGAGAAGTGCTTATTTACTTTTAAAGTCTCCACTCTTGGCCATTATCATACATTAATTTGCTAGGTAAAAGTGAGCTCTCATTGTCTTAACCTACATTTCTGTAATTATAACTATGATTAAACATATTTCATATGTTATCCTTTTGGACTTTTTATTTGAACTTAACCATTTGCCTATTTTTCTGGATGATTCAACAATCAGTCTTTTTTTTTTTTTTTTTAGTTCTTTGAAAGTTTTACTAATTTTTTGTAACCTTACCTGGAAGTGTTATAGTATTCTGTGTCATTACCATTGACTTTGGAGCTATATGGAATTTTTATCTTTTCAAAAGTAATTTCATGTAGCCCCATAATAAATGTGTTGAAAGACCATATTGCAGCTGAGTGTTTTTAGTACATTTGTGATACTGACAGAATTTCTAGTGTTTAGTACATAAAACTAAAGTTTTGCAGGGGAATAAATAAGTGACAAGTGAGAGTTAATTTCTAAGTTTGTTTCATAGCATTTGATTTTCATAGTAAGAAAACTTAAGCATACTGATTAGTTCAAAGGTAAGATTATGGCAGGTATCTAGCAGAAATACTGGACTGTGGCAGTTACAAGAGTTTTTAGAAGTTGTGCTATGTTCACATTTAATTTTCTTTATATGCACATGATGCATCTGTAGTATATACATGTATAAATAAATGGCAAAATCTAGCTAATGAATTCTCTGAATTATTCTTTAAAACTTGCCTATGAGTTCTCTCAAAGTAACAAACATTTTGGATGGCACTTTAATTTCTTTGGGATTATCTTTGACAAATATACTCTTACACATTTGAAAGAAATGTTGGAAGTTTGCTTCTAGGCTTATTATAATCCAGTCTTCGACAGCCATCACTCTTCCTGCGTTTTGTTCAAGAGGCCCTAATTGTTCGCATTTGGCAGGTTTAACACTTCCTGACAGAGAGGCTATTAAAGGCAAGTATTCTCCAATAACTGTCACTGGCTGGAACAAAGAACCTTCCAACTCAATGTGTGGAAACCACTAACATTCTTAAATGACCCTTTTCATGGATTTTTATCCTTTTAAGCTAAAATTTGGAGAATGTAGGGTCTGTGAAAACAGCAAGGTGTAATAAAGCAGTAAACCTTGATTTTGGGGGGCTGTTGGGTGGGAGGAATAGATTTATCTCTGACTTGAAAACAATTGTTATTTGGAAAATCTCATTAGCAGATGTGACTGCTTGGAGTAAAAAAAGACTTAAAACTGATGTGGCTTTCAGGACTGCTTTGAACTTAACAAGCACCTATTTGTGGAGCAGACTGGCTAATGAAAGGAAATTAAATTTTTCTGACAACTTCCCCCGCCAACCTCCTTATTCAGGGGATGTTATTAGGTACTGAAGAGTTTTAAGGAAGATTTTTTTTTATTAGACATAAATGAACCAGTTATAAACATCCTCTACCTCAGTTTTAGGGGTGGATTCTCACGTGCTTGCTCTATATTTTAAGTGTAGTAGCTTAAAAGCTTGAAAGTAACAGGCTTCACTTCACTATTTTGAAGTTGTATTTTAAAAGTCTAGGGATACTTACCAGCTGATGGTTTCAAAACACTATTGGTAGTTTTTTTTCTGTCACTCAGTTTAAAAAAAATAGAATTGAAAAGGAGCTTGAAGATCAGTATTGTCTTCATTATATGGGAAATGTGTCATGAGTATTCTTTGCTGGGTGTTAGGTAAGAGTTAATGATCAATGAATGACAGATTCAAGGGACGTTTTTGCCTTTTCAGCAACTTAAAGGTACAAGTGGCTTTAGTTCATAGTTAGCAGTAACTAATCCTTATATCAGTAAACTTTTCCTTTGTACCAAACTGTTTGGGAAGGCATTTGATTTCCCCCTTTGGAGTTTTGTAGGTTTTTTTCTTGGGTGGGGCATTGAATTTAAGGCTTTTATGTGGCAAGCTACAACTATAAATATGAACTGTGTGCCTGAAAAAGAGATGAAATAAAAGGTAAGATGCAAAAGATAAAGAATATTACCATAATGAATTTTAAAAATTTGATAATTCCTAAAGATATTGGAAATTTACTTTTTTATTTCTGCAAGATTGATCAAACTCCTCCCAAACAATAGAGAATCAACTCCCCCTGCTGACAAAATCTAGGAAAACATGATCTATAAATATTAGAAACAAGCTGGCTGTAGACAAGCTTTAATGATCTGATTTATGATTCAGTATTGATTGTAAACATTCAAATTCTGCCATTAAATTCCAGCAACTACACCAAATCATTGGCAACTCTGGTAGTGCTTCCTGCCAGGTCATTTCAGACCCCTTTGAGTTTCTTAATATAGTAATGATGAAGTAGAATTTACATTCCACTTATGGTATTAATTTTACATTTCTCTGAATGAAAAGGGTTAGAAGGTTGTAAAATTGAACATTAAATGAATCAGAGGAGACAGTAGTGCAATATACGACTGCCCTAAAGACATTGTGCAATGCCTCATGGGATTAATGCTGAGTCTCATTTCCTCCTGTTACAGGATGCAGATGAAGCCGTCAGAATTGCGAGGGAAATTGGTAAGTTCTTAAATTAACTTTGGTAGGGTTTCTGCGTCTTTCAGCAGATTCAGTTAAGGAAAGATATAATAATAAGTAGTTCCAATAGAGCAAATAATATTTTAATGGTTTTAGATTTTTGATTACATGTTGCTCCAAAGAATTTATCAGTTGAATTCCTGTATCCTATTATTAAAGTGAACTTTAAAGAGTAATAAGACCCTTTTTGTAAGATGAATTCGCTAGCTAATTAAAAGAAGGAATTGTCTTAAATATCCTTAAAAATGGATTGAGTGTAAATCGCATTTAAGCAGTTGAATATAAAGTTTATAAAGTTAAATACATATATGATTAAAGTAAAGTGACAAGATACTTTGTTTTGCCTTTTCCTAAAATATAATATTGTCAAATTTTAAAATTTTATCTTGCTAAAAGAAAGATAAAATAGAATGTGGGGAATTAGAAATGAATATTCTTAATGGAGTAAACCATTTTAATGACTATTGTACTTTTTAAATAAAAAATATTTGTGGTGCTCACGAAAGCAATGGTATTTTCAGTATCTGCTAATTGAGAAAACCTGTAAGGGCATTCTGTTATGATAGATTAACAAAGTTGCTAAAAACTACAATTTTATTAACTGAATCAGTATTTGTGAACATTTGAAAGAAATGTGTAGACAAGTGAGAGAAATTAGCTAGTTCCTTATATAGAGATTCATAGCCATCTTTAAAACACCCTACAGTTCCTATGTCCAGAGTTTTCAGCATACACACTAACATTTCTTGTAGTCTTACAGAACTGATTATTTAGAAATATTGTCTGCAGTTGGAGAATAGTAGATTTGACAAGATTTATATAGTTGTGATATGTAGAAATATTAGCCTGAAAGTGAATAGTTGTATTAATAAGTACATTCATTGCAAATTAGAACAGGCTAGTATAACAGTTCTTTAGTGATTTAAAAAGTTGTTTAGGATTTGGGGATTTAGCTCAGTGGTTCGCCACCTGCCCAGCAAGTGCAAGGTCCTGAGTTCGATCCCTGGTACCACACACACACACACACACACACACACACACACACACACACACACACACATGCACACACAGTTATTTAGCTTATTGCATTGCTCTTTTTAGTTTGGTTTGGCCAGATTATTTCAACTTTGTTTAGTATTACTTTGCAAAAAAGTCCTGGACTTAATACTAGGCCATAGAAAAATCTTTGTCTACCATATGTATTAGTTAATCATTTCTTCAGAACTGTCAACCTTTTCAAAAAGAACAGTATTTCACAGTAAGATTTGCCAGATTGCTGAATATTTTTCATTGCTAAGAGGTATTTAACATCTGGCTTTTGAGGAGACATTCCTAAAATAGTTTAGTTTTATTAAATTAACTCCTCATTCTAGTCACCTACCTAATAGGATATAACAATACTATTTATCATAATATGTATATAAAAACTATTTGGAGGATGTTAGGGTAACAATAGAGGGTAGAAGAAAGTTATAGACTTACATTGCTGTGCCACATTTTGAATTATGAATCATCAACTTGTGAGCATTTCCTTTGAATAAATGGTAGTCTGCAGATTGGTTTGCTTGCTTTTGTGTTTTTCTTCCACCATTTTTATAACGTGTGACTTTTAAGATAAACACCTGATCATGATGGTTTCTCTCTGATCAATTCTCATCACTCTGTTATCTTTCTTCCACATTTTAATTCTGGGCTTTACTTCTTTTTCATTTTTTTCCTGCTCATGTCCCTTAAATTCAGTTTAAATTTATTTTCTTTATACTTGGGTATGTCCTCATGATTCCATTTTTCTGTCTTTTTTCAAAAATTTCCCTTATTATTCACTCTCATTTGTGAATTAATGATCACAGTTATAACTACTAAGTATAAATGTATTAATGTTTTGCTTGTACTGAAAGAAAGGGAGGCTATAACATTTGAGGTAGGTAGTGGAACCACTGAGCTAAATCCCCAGCCCGGGAGGCCATAACATTTGAGATGAAATAAAACATAGTAAAGAACCAGCGTCATCAGCTTTTATAAAGCTTTTAGAATTTCCTTGAGAATCCATTCTCAGTCACCACAGAAGCCTCCCATAAAAGTACTCTCATAGTGCTTTTCCTTCAAGTACTAGCTACTAAATGAAATTAAATTGCATATTATTGAAGTCTTTTGGTTTTGTGTTGTTTGGTCATTCATTAAATTTTCTGCTACTTTTATTGGATACATTATATCTTAACTGCATCATGATTATGATGGCCATTTTAAGTTCATCTAAGAGGCAAATTAATATTGATTCTATGGGAAAATATGTTCCTCATTCTAACCAACTGAATTATAAAATCTTCAAAGCTATCCATTTGTAAGTATGTGTCATACCTTTCCTAGATTTCTTTTACTTTTTTCTGTGCTATGTGGTAAAAATGAAATTGATCCTGTCTTACGTGGTACCCTCTTTCCAGTCTATACTTTTCTGGAAACAAAAATCTTTGCTGCTCAAGTTGGAAGCTGTTTTCAGCATTGATGTTTTAGGTGTCGTTTACATGATAGTAGCCCATATTTATAGGTCATTTTTGTTTTTTGTGGTACCAGGGATAGAACTTGGGACCTTGTGCTGCAAAGTAGGTGGCAGAACCACTGAGCTAAATCCCTGAACATTTTTTTCCCCATGAGCCAGACACTTTCGAAATATTATTTCTAATGCTCATTCTTGTGTTTAATTATTTCCATTTCCATTTACAGGAACCTAAGGATTAGAAATGTTAAGTAATTTGCTCAAGGTCACTGAGCTACTGGTTTAAATTTAATTTCTTTGGCTCTTAACACCATGGATCTTTCATTATACTTTGGCTAAACTAATGAGATTTCAAGATGAGATCTAAAATTTGAGTCATTGTTTTGTATAAAATACTATAAGGTACTTAGGCATTTTCTATGTGGAATTAAAGAAGCAGGCAGCCTCTGATCATTGATGGGGTGAGAGACAGTTAAGACTTAATATGTTACTTAATGTATTTGTTTTTTGGACTCCCTTGTCTGCCTCATTTGCACTCCTGAGATTTTCCTAAGTTTAGAGAAATAGGACTATTGACCCCCAGTTTATCTGTAATCCCAATTTAGGACAACAGTAATTGGATCTTGATGTCCATTTAAGTTTGATCTTTTTAGTGGACCAAAGGTCCTTAATATAATTAAAATAAACATTGATTCTTGAAAGGAAAAAAATTATAAATCTAAACTTGTCTTTTAACAACTTCCAGGTCATTCTTACTCTGTTTCTTTGTCTATCTTTCGCACAATCACAAATCATGCTCAATTAAAAAGAATTGTGATCTTGAAGTCTATCACCATACAAACCCACTTCTCTTACAGTTTCCACAGTGAATGTTACCCTATTTACTTAGACCAAAATCCAGGTTCCATCCTGGAAGCCATCCCACATTCATTACTCACTATCTTTGGTACCACCACTCTACTCCAAATACTTTTGTCTTTTATAAGGACTATATCAATAGTTTCTTGACCTCTTTTTAAAAACAAGGCAAAGCCATTATTCGTGTAGCAGACAGTGGGATATTTTAAAATGTAAAAGAGCAAGGATACAGCTCATCCTACCCTGCCGTATCCCTACTTTAAATCCTCTAATGACTTTCTGTTGCTCTTAGATAAAACACAGTTCCTTGACAACAAATCGTATGTAATTTTCCTGCTTTTCTCTTCAGTCTCACTTTACTCTATTCCTTTTCTTGCCTACTGTACCTTAGTCACATCAGCTTAATTGAATGCAAAGACTTTCAGAGCCTTAGCATTTTTGAGGGGTTTGGAGGGAAAGAGTCAGGACAGAAGGGATCTGGAAGACTCTTGCATAGTCCTTGTATCTTTGCTTAAATATTATGTCTTTAGGAGAAGATGCTCTACTCATTCTGTCATACAACCATAACTTTCTGAGTAGTACTCATAACTTGCCAATAATTTACTGTTCATTGATTTTTTTCCCCTTCAATATTTTATTTTGGGGAAATTTAAAACTTAAGAGTTTTGATAGAACTTTGTGTTACATACCTGTACATGTTCAGCACCAAGGTTCTGTTATTAACCTAGATTATCGCTTATCTACACCTATGTTAACTCATCTTATTTTTGCTGTATTTTTAAAGTACATTGCACATACTCATACATATTCCACTAAATACTTAACCTAGGACTGGGAATGCTCAAGGCTCTGGCTTCCTTCCCAGCATGAGGGAAGGGGAGGTACTCCAAAATACATGTTAATGCAATTAAGTTTTTGCATATAGTTTTGTTTTAGTCCAAACTTTGCATGCAGTAATGTGAGCAGAACTTGCCTATATTTGCTGTTTTGTTATATGCATACATCTCTGTAACCCCAAACTCTACTGAGATGCTAGGCAATGCTCTTACTCCAGAGAGCTCTCTCATGTTCTGTCCATTCTTACTCCGTAGTCCTTGAGGCAGCCTGTTCAGAATTTTTATACTAAAGATTAGATTTTTAAAAATTGAGATAAAATTTAAATACTGTAAAATCAGCCATTCAAAGTACACAGCTCATTTTTAAAAATTTATTCACAAGGTTATGTAGCTCTCATGACTGTCTAACTTAAGAACATCTTCATTATTCCCCAAAGAAACTTGATAACCAGTAGTATTTAGTTTTCATTCTCCTCCTGGTCCCTGAAAGCCATTAATTTACTTTCTGTCCTTATGAATATATTATAGATATTTGTAAATAGACTCTGTTTAGTTTACTTAAAAGTGTTTTCAGGGTTCATCCATTTTTACCATATATTGAAATTTCAGTCCTTTTATGGTTGAATAATATTTTATTTTGTTCATCTGTCACATTTTATTGTTCATCTGTTGAATGTTTGGGTTGTTTCTATCTCTGACTATTGTAAATAGTGTGGCTGTGGACGTTTGTATGTTTTTATTTGCATATTTATTTTCAATTATTTTGATTTATATGAGCTAGGGGTGCAATTGCT